ACGTACTGTAATACCTTTTGGTGTGCCTGTGTCCTGTGTATGTATGCCTGGTGTGTTTTACGTGTGCGCGCGATCGGAAAGCTCAATATCGATACCTCCAAGCTCGAGTTCGAAACCGTCCGCTTTCACTCTGTCTCTTTGTTCGCTTAACAACTACGATTCGAATTTAATTGATCATATGGAACGGTTGTGTGCCGTGGATCCCATCGGGGGATCCCCGTCTGCCTTAATCGTTAATTGAGAGTCTTACCTCGACGAGCCTCTACAAGTAATTATCTCTAAAGTGTCCCTTACGAACTCGTGATGCGCGATGCGATAGAATACCAGAGAGCGTTACGTCAAAGAACGGAGAATGCTTTTCCCTCTTACAGACTGTGTACATACCGCGATCGCGCGCGCGTCGATCTCGAAAAGGTGTTCCCGTGAAACGATCCTCCCGTCCTTTCGCGAAATCCCGATCACTCGACAGATTACAATGGTACCGTTTAAGATCGACGCGGGAACGATATTAAATTGTCGATCGCATCGACTCAGCTACGCGAGACCCACAGCTACTTGGCGAAGAATTATATTCCTACAGATACGCGAGACATTCAGGTTTCTTTATATAAAATCCGATACCTGTCGACAGTTAGACCTCTAATACCATCTATTGACAGTCACACGAGAATCGCTAAAACATGGAAACTAGGGTTGCTCGTTCGGCGGGCGTGAAAAGCGGGACGGGTGATCGGGTGAGAACGTAGGAACGCGCGTGACTCGAGAACGAAACCGATAATATCGTCTGTTACGGAGGATCGAGAGTATGGCTAGATTCTTACGTACTGCGGCTACTTAATCGCTAGATGCGCTATAGTCTATCGCCGCGCGTCGGCGGCTCCGAGAGTGATTCCTCGATGGGCCGTGTCGTCGGCCGGGAGCGATTCCACGCGAAACGATGGTTCTTGCGCAAGAACGGATCGGTTGGACGTTGAGCCTCGTCGAATCGCGGAGCCGGCGACGCTCGGCGAGCGAGGAACGAGGCGCGGACAGCCGCGCCCGCTCCCCGGCCCGTGGGTTCACACACGCAAATAGCACCATATCAACAAGAAACGTTCGCACTATTCAACGAAAGCCGTATAAAATCTGAAATATTGGTAACGCAGCATCTGCTCGAAACGTACGGTTAATAAAAGTAATTATCGGAGAGAGTTACAATATTAGTCGTTCGGCATACGTTCGTCGAGTTCTGCCCTCGAGAAACCTTAAGGAACTATTTTGGCACTAGAATCCACCTCGGTGTGTGTAGCTTTTAGTTTAAACCTCTTAAGCCTCTCTGCCCGACTTACTCGAGTCGCGAATCTCGCGCTTAACGTATGGTCTCTTACGTGTACTGTATACCTAGGATCGTTTAATCTGCCTCCGATTAATCTCGAAGTTAAACCTTAGATCGAGCTGCTAAACGACCGTGGCTCCTCGCAGCCGCGAGCCTCTTCCTCGCCTCGATCGGCAGCCACGGTCGCGATCATCTTAGATTATATCGGTCTTGGACACTTAGTAGCGTTGCTCAATTTTACGATGCTTAAATACCGGCTATCTCGCACCTACGCTCTCGTAGACAATAGAAAATCCTTAGTAAATCTGGTTCGTTTGTAAAACTGTGTGCCATCGGCGGGGAATAGAGTCGCGAGCGAGTGGCTCGCCGCGAGACCGCTTACAAAATTCGGCATCGCGCGCCGCGACTCGCCTCGTTCGCTGCGCGCGTCTATCGATGCTCGCCCGTTCACGCTAAAACGATCGCGGATCCGCTAGAAGACTCTTTCTTCGAGCTGTCCCTTGTGTCTTGCGACATTCCGTCGGAAATCGTGGTGGGAGACGCGTTCTCCCGCGAGAAGATCGAGGGAACGATTGCGTCACAGGGGGGAAACTGGGATGAATGGAACGATCGGGTGCGATTTTCTCGGGACACGCCGCTTATTTTAGAAATGCTGCGTTCGCACGTGTACGAGAGAGGACGATTCCGCTCCGACTTTATGGATACAAATCGTGCGGGTCGCTAGGCGACCGGGACGGCGTTATTTTCAGCGATTATTCACCAAACGTTTAAAAGAAGTGACCTTCGTCTACTGCCTAGCCTCAGCCGATCCTACGCCGACACGCTCGGGGTAAAGTCGTCTAGCCACTCTCCTTTTACTTCTATCCTTGCGAACCTACGCCCGCCGGGCTAAAATTTGCGAACCGTTCGCAGATTTCCAGTTCCTACCTGTCCACTCGAATTAATGCGATTATTTCTAGTCGCTTAACCTTTGGACGGTTGCTCGCTCTAACGATATCCTTCGGACGAAATCAAAATTGCAAAGTTCGAAATAGTGGTTCCTCCGGATGAGAGTGTTACATAATGAAACTGCGGACGACCGTGCGCGGGAAACGCCGCCGGCAGAAGGTGGAGTTCATGCGGGAAGCGCCGGCGGCGTGCTAGTGTGCCAGCGTTAAATATGCGGCCGTCAAAGCGTTAAGTTTGTTGACTCAACGAGCGTATCTCCATTTCCATCGATCCGAGGGAGTGATTCGAAACTTTCGCCCGGTGGCGAGGTACGCTGCTATCCGCCGCCCGTTGAGGAAAGGGAGGTAACGAGAGTTTGTATCTAATTGATCAAAGGAAAATAATATAGAACCCTCGTCAGCCGATTTAAAGACAGTTGACAACACATTTTTCAAAGTGTGTTCGTAAAATAATGTGGAATCTCGATCGTCCGATTGATATAAATCGGAACGTGACAAGAAATTATTCAAAATATATTCATAAAATGATAGAACCTCGATCATCCGATTGATATAAATCGAAACATGACAAGAAATTATTCAAAGTATGTTCATAAAATAATACAGAACCTCGATCATCCGATTAATATAGGTCAAAACGTGACAAGATACTTTTTCAAAGTATGCTCATAAAATAATATAGAATCTCGATCATCCGATTGATATAAATCGAAACAAGACAAGAAATTGTTGAAAGCATGTTCATAAAATAATACAGAACCTCGATCATCCGATTAATATAGGTCAAAACGTGACAAGATACTTTTCCAAAGTATGTTCATAAAATAATACAGAATCTCGATCATCCGATTGATATAAATCGAAACAAGACAAGAAATTGTTGAAAGCATGTTCATAAAATAATACAGAACCTCGATCATCCGATTTATAAATCGAAACATGACAAGACATTTTTCAAAACGTGCGTATAAAATAATACAGAACCTCGATCATCCGATTGACAAAACATTCGTGAAACTACGTTCCTAAAATTAGATCGTATATATTCCAACGTACAATCGAACAGTTCGAACGACAGATTCCCAACTGAACCAAGTGGCTAGATCATTTACACCTCGAAAACCAGCGCTCGCGCCGAGTATTCATGAACGCGCGGTACGTTCGCCTCGCACAGCAGCCGCGCAGCTAGAATATTAGCCGATACAACGGCCGAGATCGAGAACGGTGGGGATTGTCCTCGAGCAGCCGGTAGATTTGGTCTCTGGCCCGGCCTCGGGCCTCTCTTCCGGTTATCCAACCGCAGAGTCTCGCAATTTTCCTCTCGTCCCTCGGTTCTCTGCATTTCAAACGAGCCCCGAGGCTTTTTCTCGCGGAACAGTGGTGTGCACGCGTGTGCAACGACTCCGGCCCCTCTCGGCAAACAATCGAGGACCCGTTGTATCGTGTTTCGCGCGGTTCCAGCCGTGGCTGCGGTCGCTCCGCGCACACAGGCTCACGGGCGCGGAATCCGCAGCGGCAACGCGCCGGGTTCGTTAGCCGGCGATTGTTCTCCGCGGTTCGTACATCCCCGCTTTGGTGAATTTAGCGGGCCGGGCCGGGTTCGCGTGCGAACGCGTGAAACGCGCGGAGAAAGGACGAGGAGAGAGGATGGATGCTCGCAGAGGGGTGAACGAAGGAAACGGACAGAGGGGCGAAAGAGGGGCGGGGTGGGCACGGAAAACGGGGTGAGTTAAGAGCCGGGAACCGCGGGGAATCATTAGGATATATTGTCAATTCCGAGCGCTTTGAGTCCTTCCCCGACACCCTGCCGCGGAACACGCTCACCCCTGGACACCACCAATTTGTCCTGGCCGGTGCATCGCGTCGAACCGGCGATTTCGTTCGTGTAATTTCGAGCTCAGAGTTCTTCGTGCGAAACGATCACGGAAACCCGCGAGTAGGTCACCGCCGGTTGCCCCCGACGCCGTGAACCTTTCCAAACTTGAGATCCTCCAGCTGTGGAACACCGCGGGGATAGAAGAGGACGACCGCGGATACTCGAATGGATTATCTACAATGAGTTTCGTTAAATAAAAATCCTCGTCGTTTTGATTTCGCTCCGTGTGAATGTTCGACGGTGATTCCCCGAGGACTCTCGGATTCCCGTAGAGAATCGCCGAGGCGAGGATCCAGACGCCTGCCGGCGGTCCGGCCGTTTCTCGATGCTCGTTTCGATCGGTTCGATGTCGTGCTTACAGACCTGAGACGGATCACCAGAGGAGTACGAGGCATCTCCATTAACTTTCCTTCTCCTCGATGGGACTGACTTCGTTCTGGAGCAGCTCGAACTTCGGGCTCAGCCCCGGGAGTATGCTCTTGGTGCTGGTTTTGATCTGGCTGTAGATATCCAGGGATTTCTTCCGGTCCAGGTCCAGGCTCTCCTCGATCAGTCGCGGGGGAATGCTTCCGCTGCGCTTGTGGCTCGGCACGAAGGTGCTGCCCTCCGGCTTTTGATCCTTCGGCCTTTCCTCTTTGTGCTCCGGCGTCAAAGTGCCGTTCCCCAGCTTGCGCTGCTGCTCCTGGAAAGTGTCCTCTTGCACGTCGTCCTTGAGCAACGCCCCCGTTATCACCGGTTTGCTCTCCAATTTGCCGAAATCGTTGCTCAACGCCTTCTGCTCCATGATCTCCAGCTTGTTAGGGGTGGCGCCGTTCACCTGGAGGTTCGGGTTCGAGCGGACCGTGTCCGTCGAGACGCTGGCGTCCGTCGAGTCCTGCTGGTCCATCGATCCACCGGATCCCTGCGAGGTGTCCAGGTTGTTTCGCTTCCCTAGTATCGACGGCTGGAACAATTTACCTTGTTCTATAGTTATTGATGGGCTGCTGCCGCATATTACGGGATTGTGGAATAAACGCGTTGTTCATGGTTCAACCCTTTGCACTCGGGAGGTGACTCAGTCGCCACTTGATTTGACTCAGTAAAACAATAAAATCTGATGTGTAACGTTTAACCCTTTGCGGACGAATGTCGACCTTCCGAGATGAAATTTTCATATTTGGAAGACTAAATCATGAACGAGAGATCAACACGTAGTTTCCTGTTGTTCTACAATTATACAATTGAAATGTAATTTAGCTTCATCCGTTGAAAGTTTTGTACATTTCAAAGAATCTTCGTCCGCAAAGGGTTAACTTCGTACAACGCTCCGATACGCGAAATAGAATAAAATAGCTTTGTTCCCCGGTCTACTCGTGATTTCCCTTTGAGTCAGTTTCAAAGAATACCGTCCTCGTCAAGGAATGTTAAATATTTCCATCGAGAAACTTCCGAGTACAAAGGGTTAATAATTTCAGTGAACAGGGTCGAATAACAAGAAGGGAGCACGCGAACAATGATACTTTAGGGATGGATTACACGCGGACAAATGTTTTACTTACACTCTCCTCCGTCTCCTTGTCCATGCTCGAAGTTTTCGACACGTTCAACAACGTCTTCTCGGTGTCCGGCGACTTATCGAATTCCACCCACTTGGAGCCGCCCTCCAGTTTCCGGGACAGCGTATCGGACTCGTAACTACCACCGTACATCGGATAACCCAGATGGCCCGCATCGTATTCGACTTGATTTCCATAACGATAGCTGGGATTCACCGAGCCCTGGCTGGAGATCGAGAGATCCGACTGGGACAGTCCAGTGTTCGTGCTCCCGAATAGTCTCGTGTTCTCGAAACCTGCACCGTGAAGATACGGTCCCGGCTAAATTAATTGATCGCCCGACAACGTACCGTGCGTCAAACCCATAGATATACGGGGAGAGGCGGAGACAGAGACAGAGGTGACGAGAAAGGGAAACAACAGTGTACAGGGAGATTTGAAAATTGTTGAGTACCCGGTGATCGATCCTCCGGAATTTCTTCTCTATGAACGAGAGCCTGCTGGTCGGTGACATCTGCGGTCACGTCGTCGGTGGAGCCTTTATTAGCCTGGGCGTCGTCGCTCTGATAGCTAGGCTGCACCTCCACCACGAACGAGCACCCGTTATCTTGGTACCTGCGGTTTTTATTATCCTCCATCGTCACCTAAAACACGAAACGGTCGGGTTCGTTAACTCCTCGGCTCGCGGCTTTTTATTTTCCATCGAGGCCCGCGCGCCCGGCGAACACACACGGCTCTGTGCCGCGTCGACGAAAAAAACCGTTTATTACCGCGAGTCGTAAAAAGAGAACCGAGCGAGACATTAATCAACACCGAGGGGATCGGCTTCGAACGGGGGACGGGAACTTTTGGGGACTCGTATCCGTGTCAGCCGGCAACGGTCGTCGAGTTTCGAAGCTATCCGATGATCGTGAAAATTTTGAATTCGCGTAGCACCTCGTCTCTAATGATTTCGAAGTTCTCGAGATATAAAGTACGAAGACATCGAATCCTATTAAGATCGATTCGAATTTCCCAGCGAAGTATCCGAGACGATTCGAAGTCTTGATAACCCATCAGCGGCAACTGTTCGCCCCGCGGAGCGAATTCCGAGGGAAGACGGTTTTACGGGGAATCAATACAATCTCGCGGGTAACGTTGATCCGTCCGCGGCACGAGGGGTTGTCAAACATCAGCCGGCGACCGATAAAAGCGAACACGCTCCGTACCGAACAATGCACCGCATCGAAACTAGGAAATTAATTTCCACTCTGCAGATTTCCTGGCCGATGTTTCCAGTTTACCCGTAACCCGGTCGCCCGCCCCCACGCCGAAGGGTGTATAAACGCGACCGCGGCGGTAGCTACTCGACTCGACGGACCACAGAATTAGTTCCCGCTATTGTTCCCCGGCTTTTCCCATTCCGACGCGTTTCTCCCGTGTTCCGTTCCCCGGCGCAGACCTCCCCGTGCAGCGCGTTTAGCCACGTCGCTCACGCTGGCTTGAGTTATCGGTTGCGCCGCCCCCCCGGCATCCAGAATTACGACGGACGAATAACTGGCTTCGATTTGTCAGCGGGGAAATCTTCGACGAAATCAGGGCCGTTTAAAAGGTAACGCGGATAAACGAGTTTAATCTCTCGGCGGAGCTGATTTTCCCATTGGCGGCGTATCGACGGCCGGACGGTCGTTCGAACGAATAAAGTAATTCCCTTGAATAATCACGCGTCGAGGAAGCACTGAGAGGTTCGAGGAACTTAATCTACCGGGCAGAAGGAATCGTTCGAACGAATAGGATACTTACGTCCCTTCCTTTCCGCGGGACAAAGAAACGGCGAAAGGGGAGAGAGAGCGGAGTGCCACCTATTTCTGGATTCCTCGAGGAAACTGTATCCCCGAGGCGTCGTACACGCTCGCCGCGAGCCTCGCAGTTTTTCACGGGACGTCGCAAAGTGCCGAGTCGCTTCGGAAATCGAGGGTCTCGGGTAGATCTTTCTATAAATCGTGGAATCGACCGGTCGCGCGGGACGTTCCCCGGAGCGCCTTTCCGACGACGCGCGTATGAGAAGGAAAAGCTGCAGGGAGGATGACTACGGCGAGGAAATAAATTGAAAACGTAGAGCCGAATCGTCCGTGTATGATTCACCGTTTCTACTTATCGCAGTCGATAATGCTAGATAAGCCGTTCACTCGTTTCTCATTGATCCGCGTCGCGCGAAAACGAGGACGCGACGTTCGTCCCATTTTCCCGCTCGAAATCTAAGGTAGGAACTGGTCGGGGTCATTTTCGAAAGGCCAACTCGCCGGAAACTGCCGTAATTCAGAGAGGCCGTGACTCGCAAGCGTTGCTAACTCGAGGGTAAACTCGAGCTTCACCCGCGGCATTCCGACCCGATGGAACTCCGGCCTCCGCTCCCACAGCCAGTGATTATTAAAAATTATACCGCGCCGTGTTCCGGCCAATTGCGCGGCGCCTGACGTTCAGCCGAAAACCGGAGAATGGGACGCGGCTCGGTCGAATTGAAATGCAAATTGCACCGCGGAACGTTCAGCGGACCAAGAAACCGTCGAATTAAAAGCAAATATACGCGCATTGTCGGCCGCGTAACGACGCCGCCGCGTATAAATATGTTTTGCCCATCGGGATCGCAGGGGAGCGGGGAGCGAGACGGACAGAGAGAGAGACAGAGTACAACGCTTCGACGAGAATTTAATCTTCCACGCGATAGATTAATCGATGCATAACAGGCCGCAAGATTACCGATCACGCGTTACTGATCCCGGATGCTCTACTAAACGGGTGACGCGAGCGCGCGGTCCGTACCCCTTTCCAGCCGCTATTTATACCGACTGATAGTTAATAACCTGTTTTAACCCGAATTTTTTATATCTCCTCTGTAAGACCAACGTTACGGAGTTAACAGAGCGTGCGCCGGCGAAGTTCGTCTGTCCTACAAAGATGAGGCTCGTCCTCTAAGTCCGCGAGTCTTGAGCGGACATCTTTGTCCTTCTGTCGCGGAAGATCGACCTAGATTCCGAAGAAGCCGAGTGCACATTGTCGCAGGTTTATACGATGTCTCTGAGCGATCGGCTCGCGTTATTATACACGACTGCGGGGGAGGAGACACTCGAACGGTGAAGGGTTAATTTCTTCGCGCCGCTCTCCCAGGCCGGTGAAACAGACCGACCGATACGAGCGAGCGGCTCGGTATTGAGTGGCCTTCGACGGGAGCGCACTTCATTCGAAAGAAGCACTCGTGGCCGCGACAGAGCGAGTGTTTCTCGAATTCTGAGGGTATCCCGCGCGACCGAGGGTGAACACCGCGACTTGGCGACGGGCCAGGTATTACGTCGAAGCATCCCGGGCATCCACCCTGTCGGCTGCTACCCGGTTCCTTGTCCTTTTCCGTCTGTTCGCCTCCTAAACAAGCGTGTCGCGCGGTTTTTGCATTCCGTCCGGACGGAAGCTGAACTCCCTCGGCGTTCCTCGTGCCACCCTGGTCTGCATTCTTTGTCAATTTCACCCGCTATCGAGGAGACGCGAGGGCAACACGTGTTTCCCGTTACGACATTTTTCCGCGAGTATCGATCTCGAACGTAATATTCTCCGCGAATAAGACGCGCCGGATTTTCACGCGTCCGGTCATAGACCGTCCGATTCTACTGCTGATATCAGCCCCGAAGACTCGTCGCCGAAACCTGTTTGCCCCGGCGACCATATTGAGATTCGACTCGAGATTCCTACCGTTCAAAATTAAGATAAGTGCCGAACGAGATTCCACGGAGTGATCTCGCCCATTTTCTCGGTCGCTCGGAGCCTTATCACCGCGAGGAACCTAATGTTCCGCTTGTTGCATACGTATCTCCCGCTTGGAGCAGCTTCTTTCGGTTTATCTGTCGATTAGCGGACTTACTCGTTATTCACCGGACTTACTTCGGCTTTTCGGGTCTCGGGCTGGAATTCGAGTACCTGGATCCACCCTCGTCGTCCGATCGTTCCTTTGGGAATGATTCCCCTCTTCCGATTAGAAACGCGGAGAGAAACGTGGGAGAAGGATCGGATCATTTTGGCCGGCGAACTTTCGACTGTATTAATTGGAATAGCTACGGGCGGTGTTCGTTTCATCGTAATTTTACGAGATTTAGTTCGAGCGGCCGTAGGAAAAGGGGCACGGTAAGCCAACGGATTTCGAGAATCCCCGGCAAGATGAGTTTCCACGGATAAGCCTCGGCTGGTAAGTAGGACGATAGGCGGAGGCGAAATTGCCTGGTAACCTTCGACCTTACAGGGCCGTATAGTCCCGATAATTGCGAGCCTGTTATCCCTGTCAAAGGGGAACCAGTGGCCGACCCAGCTGCGCGAATCTCCGGCATCGTGGATCGATTTCACGCGCCGGGTTATGGGATCGTTCGGACGAACCTAGCTACCAATCAAGTTGTTCCTCATTCGCGAAAGAGCGCGGAGAAAGAGGATGCTAACGAGGAAAGCGCGAAATATCTGGGTCGCAGGTTGAGATTCAACGGCGATACAATTCCGTGCGTCGCCGTTGTTAAGCAACGAGTGCCGCGCCGAGCGTTTCCGATAACGGTGTGGAAAGATCTATCGGTAAATCGGTGCTCGAAGGATCAAGACCGGGGGACGCGTCCACCGCAAACGATAACGACCCTTATCTCGACGAGGGGGCCGCGAGACCCGGATGTAAACGAATCCGGCGCGTGTAGCGATCGCGGTAATTGGTCGCAGCCGGCAATCCGTTCCGTTTTCTCCGATTTGTCGATCCGGCGACCTTTTGCGCACCTGTTGCGCCCTTATTGTGCCTCGCATGCCGATTATACCGACACCCCTCGCCGCGACGACGAGAATCGAGGCTTTTGTTCGGCCCGCGCCCAGTCCGCGGCTAATCGAGAATGAATTCTAGGACGCCGGCGTTCCGCGCAAAGGGCGATCGACGTTTGTTAAATTCCGCTCCAGTCCGGTCTTGTTTCCACCGACAATTAACCCGCCGTGGAAGTTCCGCGTCCGAAACGGAAACGTTTCCGTTGTCCGAGCCATCGATTTTCCGAGGACAGCCGCGAGAACTCGGTGGACCGAGGCTCTCCGGCGCCAACCTGGAACTCCGCAATCCAGCAGAAACCGCCCCCTTTTTCTGCGCCCGGTCGAACCTAATTAACGGCTCCTTTAGCCCACCCCCGTCCCCCACACGGAAACTTTATCCACCGAACGGCCTAACCGACGTTTCAGTTATTACTCGGATCACGGAACGCTACCATCCATTTCGCCCGTTCCCTATCTCGCGGATCGCTAATGAACCGGCCTTCCAATTATCGACGAACTCCATTTAATTGGATCCGCGCCGGAAGTCCTTTTGTCCGGCAACAAAATCGAGTGCCCGTCCACCACCCATCGGGCGCATCATCCTCGGGACGGTTCGCGCCTCGCGCTGATGAATTCCTCCGGATTTTGGGACTCTTCGGATTACCGGGAATCGGGTAAATCGCGTTCCGCGGTCGGACGGTTGTCGATCGGGATTTTTTCGAGTCTTCCGAACTCACCGCTCTTTCCTCCGTCTCGACGATGAGATGATTGTTCTTCAAGGTGAGCGTGATGATGTTCCCATTGGCGTTTTTGTTCGTGTGGTTCGCCGGCGGCGTGTACTCGACCGGGGCTGCGTTCTCCACGTTCACCTCCTCCATGACTTCCGTCTCGCAGATGTACCTGGGACCGTCGAGGCCGTTCACCAGCTGAAATCAAATTGAACGACCATTCAGCACCTGTCCTGAATAACGGAAACCGCGAGCAGCTAGACTCGAGCTTCGTAACGTCTATGCAAAGCGATTAAAACTACTCTCGTTGAAACAATCATCGTCCATTCAATCGAACAATATTAATTCATTTAACCCTTCGCACTCGAAAGCTCTTCACTTGAAATATTCGATACTTCCTAATTAGATGTAGACAAGATTCTCTAAAATGAATTTATCAAGAAAACACACATGAATTGGGGAAGCTGGTTTCTTTCAATATTTACAACAAAGGTACAAAGGTTAATGGTAAATACCAAGGTTTATAATTTGCATCAAATCATCTGGCGACTGGAAATCGCCTCTCGAGTGCAAAGGATTAATTTCGTTACTACTACTATAACCCTCTTTTAGAAACATATTTAAGTGTAAACTATAATCAGATTTTACTGTCTTGACTTATTTAACCACACGCTGGCAATGAATTGAATTATTCACTTATTATATATAGATACATACAGAAATGTCGTTTACCAATAATTTTGTACGAAGTGGTAGATTTCAGAACAATCTGGAATATGTAATCCAATAAGACTATCGACGTATAATACGTCGTTGGTAATTTTCAAAAACTCCACGACGTGCGTACCACGCCTTTCCAGCGCAAGTGGTTAAGAATACTCATACCATTGTACTAACAACTGATACTTATTACTAGTGCCATAACAGGTACTACAGTGAGATTGAAAATGAAGATCAACGCCTCATTTCACAAGAACAACCGCATATCGATCCGTCACAGAAGAAGTCCATCTAGCCACTACATTATTCCGGATCAAGTCGAAATTCAAAATAATCCCCCGATGTTGATACTTCCCACAATCGCCGAAGCGGTCGGAACTTTCGTCCGCCGTAACAGCGGAGTCGCGAAGATGAACGTGTCTACCGCGACGAGGGTGTTTCCGGGAACGTTGAACCGCGGGGAACTTCGATTCCCTTCGGTTCTTCCGCGCGGAAACTTTTGCCTCGTTACGGGAAACGGGAAACGGTGAACTGGGTCAACGGGTACGAGATCCCATCGGCTCCCAAAGCCCGGGAACCGTTTGTGCCCGCCGCTGATGGATACACGGTCGCTGGTACAGAGGCTGGCTCCCGCAGGAGGCGGCGAGTAACGGAAGAGGAGAGTTATCTGTCAAGGAAATTGACAGTGAAACGGAAGTGGCGCGCTCGCCTGGTTCAAAGTTCCTTTCCTCCGGGCAACTCCGCGAAACAGAAATTCATCATTCCTTTCTGCGGCGCGGCTCGGCCGCGTTCGAATCGTCCGCGCGGCCGACCGTTCCTCCAGGTGTTCGCCTTTCTTCTCCGTTCCCACCCGCGGTAATCGGCGACACCTCGTTCGACGAACGCGTGACGCGCCGGGTACGTCGCCCGATAAGGCGCGGATAGCCGCGGAGCGTAATATCGGCAGACACGCGAGCAACTTCGAAACCGTCGTTGGTTTTATTGAAGTTAACGAGCGCCGCTTATCTCCTCTAATCTCTGCGCGCGGGATAGACACTGTCGCGTTGCGTTACCGTTTCCGCGAGAGCGTTCCTGCGATGAGTTTTGTTCGACTAATGGCTGCGTCCCTTGCACGGTGCCCGAAAATATGGGCAAAATATATATATTCGTAGATAATGAGCTATTTATCACAGAAAAATTTACGGTTTAGAGTTAGTCTTAGTAGAATCCGATTTTGGAGTTACTGTTTTACTAGAATAAAGAGAATTTTATAAAACTACCCTTATAGAGGGTGTTTCATTATGAGAAATAGAAACTTCGCGAGCTCGTCTAGAATACGCTGTCAAGCAGATAATGTCATACAGTTTCAACCTTGTTTCTGAATAATTAACGAGCCATAGTTGATTAAACTCTGGAAACCTTTTCCCGTATTTCGTCCACGTTCCCGAGCAAATGGACCAACGAGCGTCTCAGTGAATCAGCTGAATGCTTGAAGCACTGACCGCCGAAAGCTGCGCCGGGCGATCATTTATATTCTCTTTAAAGGACATCTTGCCTCGCGCGGACCGTCGGCGCCTCCATTTTCTGGTCGATTTTCACCCGGCGCCTGCTGCGAGAGCCGCGGAAGACTTTAATGTACCACAGGTGTTCCTCCGCGAGCAGATATTCCGCGAAGATTACAGCCTGCAATCCGGGAGCCGCTTTCGAAGGACGCGTCCCCGTCTCCCGGAACCCTCCCGATCGAAGTCGCGATTGGTTCGTCGTCTATTCCGACTCCGATCGGCTCGATTCGGGGAGGACGCGCGAAAGAGATACAACCCCCGGCCTCAGCCACCCCTTTGGCAGCCGCCGATTTCGGAAATGAACGGAATCATCGACGGCGGACGCGTCTGTTCGAGGAAAGCCGCGCCGTTCCCCCGTTCCGAGGAGTCTTATCTCCTCCCTTTATCGCTGTTTCCGGGAGTTTCCGGGGTGCGTTAGCGGACACGCGATACCCGGAATACGCGGAGCTCGCCGGGAGGTTCGACGAGGGCGGCGGTCGATCGGAGAAATGGCCGAGTTTCGAACGAGACGACGACGATGACGCTCGGGACCGTCTATTTCCAGGGAAGAGGTTCTTTCATTTAAATAATTGCCGGATCGGGTTAGTTGGAGGGGCGGGCTCGAATGGAAACTCGGTTTCGAGCGGTTCGCTGCAAGGAGGTCAGAGGGTTCGGCTGTTATACGACTACAATCCGAAGATACTCGCATTGGACGGGTGTCTGAAGCTTAGTTCAGGCGAAAACACGTGACAGACGGAACGCGAGCGTCGCATCGGGCTCTATACAAATGTTAGTACACCCTAATTCGATCTTCGTTATAATGGGAAACGCAGCACGAGCGTTGAGGTCGTTCGTTCAGCTTCGGTACTCGTGTCTCGTCGTCTGAATCGTCTGTTACTCCGAACTAGGCTTAACCTGTACCCGGTCGAATCAGCCGATGGAAACTTGGTCCGCTCGCCGTTTTCTCGGGCGCTAATGCGATAACGCGCGCTAAATTATCAGAGTATTTACCCTTCCCCGGGCGTCCCGGAGCGGATCGCAGCCGGAGAAATTCGATTACGATCCTCCCTTGGTCCCGCTCGGGGAGGATCGCCGCGATTTCGCCGGGATCGGAAGAGGGGAAGCCCCCCTCATTACAAGCGATCGCTACCACCCTAATTGGCCCGCATGGAGAATCGAGCCGGCATCTGTCGGCGCGGCCAGCGTTAAGAAAGTTAGCGCCTGCATAAGCCGGGATTCCAGCGGCGGCGGCCAATCACGGCGAAACTGCCTGCTTTCGGCAAGAAAGTAGCCGGCTAACCGACAATTTACCGGAAATCTCGGTACCGAAATTTTATCGTGCCGGCCATCGAAGATCGGCCGAGTCGCGGGTTCGTGGAACCCGATACACGGGTTCGCGCCGGGGCACGTACCATCTTAATTGCCACCGCGCGCAGGATCGAGGATTAACGCGATTAAATCTGATTACACGTTGCGAGCGTATTGACTAGCGGCGATTCCGCCAGGAATTTTCGTTTCGCCCGGCCGTTCGATTGAAGGGACATCCTCGGTCCTGTTCGCTGGTAGCCGGCATCTGGAGAACTCGGCGGACGAGACTCGAACGAGTAAAAGTTCACGCTGTAGTAACACCGAATGAACAACTTTCGTTCTCTGAAATGTCATTATTAGCGTTCCTTTCGTTCCCCTGTGGGTGACGAATATGCGTTTCTGAAGCTTGTACCAGCGTTTCCTTCTAATTTTGTTTCCTCTTGTACCGACACACTCCGTAGAACTGATTTTCGCGTAAACCGAGGTGCGAGTTGCTTCATAGAATGGTTATCTTCAGCGAATCGAGCGAAGGCTATTTGCACAGCAGTTCGATCCGCAAGTTTCAAACGCCATTTCACTCGCGCAAAGGGTGCGTCCGTAGTTGGGCGATCGAAATGTGTACATCAACTTGTCCGTCGAGTTAGACAGGTAAATTGTTACTTGCTCGTCTCGCGCGGGATCTGACATTAACAGATTCCCGGATTGCCTAGCCGTCGCGGAACAGTTTCCACGGGCTTGGATCGAATAACCGTGCCGGAACATCGAATCTGCGAAAGACGTACCGCGGCGGACGGAACTTATGCAACGACCTAATAGTTATCGATTCGGCGCGAGGAAACGACGCGTTCCCGGCGACACCGGAATTAGATTTAAATTGTAATTACGTAATAAGCGGCGGGCTGTATTAAGTCGCAGGTCGCGCGGCGCCGTAATTGTCGTCCCGGGTAATAATTAATTAGGAAGGCGAACGCGGCCGCGGACAGTCGAGCGAAATAACCTACGGAAACCGATAATAAACGCACGCTCGATATCGATCGGAGCGTCTCGATGCGACGAGGCTCTTATTATCCGTCGAGTGGTTGGTCGGCCGAAATTCTCGTCGTCGGCTCTCTTCGATCGCGCACGCGAGCGTAATGCGATCGTTAAACAACGAAGATTCACTCGGTGCCTCCATTGTTTGTCCCAAATACAATTTCCATAGAAGCAGTATCGATTATCGTTCGAGAAACGTTTTCTATATCCGACGTAGGCGTGGTGAAACGTTTTACATTAGCGAAACAATTCGATTCGCCTATTCCGCAACCGATCGTCAATAAAACTCTTTCGATTCAACGATTTTATCGCGCTCGCCTCGCCGCGTTTATCGTCTCGCGAGAGAGCCAGACAGTGGAATCGGCCGATCAGAGCCGAACGCACAGCAAGTGCCTCGGTAGGCGCGCGACCTCGACAACAGCGATAGAAGAAACGATAGTCGTTAGTCACGCCTCGCTTGGCTAGACGCGGTCTAGACATAGATTCCTAGACCGGTTGGTCAAGGCTGTCCTATTCTATTCAGGTGCACGCGGTACTCGCCGGTCTAGCCGGTCGCTGAATCACGATAGAACCCGGGGACAGCGTCAAAGGAACCGACCGGCTGCCGAAAACGGTAAT